TCTGTTAAATTTTAATGGTGGAAGATTAAACTTATTATAATTTTTTTCAATTTGCATTAAGAACATAAATTACTTCTGATGTTATGGTCCAACATAGATCAATAATTGGCAGGTTTTGTTTCTTTTCCATTTTTTTTTTTATCCTGTTGTTCAATATATAGTCTTATTTGAAATTTTTATCTCATTTTTTTTACTTAAGTTGTTATTAAATTTATTCACTTGTCTTTTCAAGTAATTTAGTTTGTACATCTGAAGAAAACAGCAATTGTTGACAGGTTATATGGAAAAGAAAAGCCCAAAATGCATATTGCCTAATTATTTTTGCTTGTATCTTAAATAAATCGGAGATTTTACTGCAGTTCTAACATTTACTTTAATGATTTTGTAATAAAAATATAAACAGTTTGTACATCTTAAACCATATGTGAACTGCTTTCTATTTGTCTACTATAAAAACAAAGGGAGAAATGTCTAGAAGACTCCAAAGGGCAACTTAAATTAAAATATGATCAGGCTAAATCTGGACTATACTCCACATGTCAAATTAAACCAAACTGTAGTTGGCACAGCAGAATTGGGAGGTCCTGCAACATCTTCCATATAGTCTAAATTCAGCCCCCGTCGGATGTTCATTTATTCGGACCTTTAAAGAAATTTTTGGCAGGGAGAAACGCTTTGTGGATCAGGAGGAATTGGAAGATACTGTTCTGGACTACTTCAAGCAACTTGACAGGCAACAGTACTGTGAAGGGATGTTTAAACTTGTGTCGCGCTGGGATAAATGTCTCAACATTTATGGTGATTATGTTGAGAAATAAACAAAAGTATGCAGTTTTTGTGGAATGTATTAAATATTTTCTTTATTTATAAACATTAGCGTAATTTTGGCCTGTACCTTTTAATATCAGACTCCCCACATAAATCTAATTTTGTTTTGTTTTTAGTTCGAATTCTTACATTGTCTGGCTCATAGGAAATTAGGTCAATGAAGATTTAATGATGATTAATAAGATTTAGGTTGATGAAATTTGTACAGTAGATGAAAATGAGTAGATAGTGCAACGAAAGATTACATTATTGTGCCCCTATTAACATTTACTATTATTATAATTTTTCAGTATTTTAAAATAAATTTATTATTATTTATAATGAGGGTTATATCAGCACTCAGATAATTCAATTTAATTATAAATATACTTTATACTGTAAACATCAGTTTATTATATACATTCCTTTTTAATTATTATTGAAGAAATATTTTGTATATGTAATGATGTAGAAAAATGAATTGCCATTTTTGTTTAAATTTTATGCAAAGTTGTAATGTTATTTGAAAGTAACATTACTGCTTTGTATTAATATATTCAAAAATATATCTAAATAAGTTTGAATTCAAAATTAGATAGTTGTTATCTGTAGATGTAATTATTTTCAAATATAACAGTTCTTTAAAATTATTAGTAAAAATAACTAGTACATGGTAAGTAAAAAGTAGTATATATAAGAATATTAAAAGATGATAACTAGTAGTATTAATTTTGATATATTTAGGGCTGAATTTACATAGTGTGGCTACTTCAGGCTCTATTTTTAAAAGGGCTCTATTTGTTAACAACAATTTAAACCAACTATTTCAACTTTAAAACTTCAGGATACTGGATAACAAGCATAGATATCCAATAAAACCCAAAATTCCAGCATGAAATGCAAAAACTTACTTTAAAACAAATGCTTTAGGCAGTATTAAACAACCATTGTCGTGTGTTTTGTTGGGTATCTATACCATTCTTTAACTCACTATACATTTATGAAATATTATTTTACTAAATTTAATAATAATAGTAATATCTAATTGTATATCCTATAATAATAAATGTAATTAAGTATGATTTTATTCTCAAGATTTTCGGGAAGAAAGGAATCCACTTACGTAAAAACTCGAACCCGGAATGTTAAATATTCTGTTTGTCGTGTGCATTAAATTTTTAATGGGATCTTTGTATACGTATCTTTTATTTGAAATGTTATTGTATTTGGGGATGGTACCCATTAGTTTTCAGAACCTTTGCCATTGTAATTTAATTAATAAATATTGTATTTGTATAATTTCTGATGATAAGAATGATTCTGTACTTTAATTAAAACCTTTTCCTGCAAGCTTTTTATGGTAATTAACTAATTAATTAATTATTAGAATAAGCGCACAGGAGAATTCTGATATTAAGACAAAAATGTTTGTAGAAGTTTATTTTATTTCTTTATTTAGTTTAAATATCAATGTTGCCTTGTTGTTTACTTTATATAACTGCTTAATTTCAACTTAAGAACATTTTAAATATTTTTATTTTAATTGAAGAGCTTTCAGCAAATTTTTTTTTTTTAATTTGTACGTAATTTTGTTTTAAATTGCACATCTTTATTATTTAAAAGGGAAAAGAGGAAGAACAATTAAATTTATCAAAATTTTTACAATAGTTATCTAAAATCTTATCAATTACATTTTTAATCATATTCATTAATAATAATTTCACATTATTAATCTTATCAGTTATTGGATTGCCTAAAAATAAGGGTATAAACAAAGTTATTTTAAATTACATTAAAGTAATTTAATGTACAGTCGACCTCCCCTATAACACGGTAGATACGTTCCGTTCTTTATGAAATTGATGTTTTACGAGTCCTTAAATACATGAGCCAATCACAGCCCGGTATGTATGCAGTTTATGGACTACAGCTGTTTGAAAGGTTTCCTTCCATCAAATTAATCGATTCTAGACTAATTCGACTCAACATTTCCAGAATACATATAATTTTTTGGGAATAATCCATATAAACTATGCTGTAAACAAAAAATTGTAGGATTACTTACCGGGTGTGCACCATTCGACAACGCCACTTAAGCTTGTTTTCATCGTGGAGCGGTGCATTGAATGGCACTCGCATGCTTCCTGATAAATTATTTTTCTGCGAAAACTTTGCTGAACTTTGGAGACATTATTAATATAAATATAATTTTTATGGACGTTAAATAATAAATGGTTTTTAGTAGGTCCGCTGCTCGTTTAAACTCAACGGTTTGTGCAATATCCGCTATTGGTCTAGATTCGATCAATCCTGTCGCGACATGAGTCGGCGATGACGTTTTACTGAATTATACGAGTCTCTTTTAGCGTGTTTATACAAATACGTTCGCAATTTTTTCACCGTCATATAGGAATCCGAACTATATGAACCCTTTTATAGGGGGATCTACTGTACTTTAATTATTGTAATCTTCTATGGAAAGGTGGAAATTTTTTAAATAAAACATAATGTTTTACTATTATTGGGAAGGAGTGTTTTAACCTTATTAAATGTGTATTCGGTGATTTTAACATACCATACATCTCAGTATCATTTTTAAAATAGGCACTAGAGAGTCAAAAGGCAACTGAAGAGGGATTATTTTTGTAAAACAGAAAATGTATTTTGTCTGGAATTTTGTTACTCAAGATGCCAAAAAGATGTTAAAATGTGTAATAAAATGAAATACTTTTTCAAGTCTTGCACTTGTTTTTTAAAATTGCAATGCAGTTATTGTACAATTTTATATTTTAATCAATAATTTATTAAATGTGAATAAAAGTATTTAATGGATGAAATTATAGTAGAGTATCGATTATCCGAATCGATTGGGGTTGTTCAGAAAACTGATTATGTACGAAAAAATATATTAAGCTAGCCCATGTTGAAATTCGTTCAAATCCTGGCACGTCCTTAAGTGCCCTCTCATGATTGCGTTAGTACTGCCAGCTGAAACACGCACACCAACAAAAATAATATTGGAGTAGCCCAAGACATAGCCAAAGATTGCAGCGCCACAGCACTAGCAGAAATTTAAATTTGCCGACTGGAAAGCTTTCAGTTAATTGACATTCGGATAATCGATGCTCTACTGTAAATCCAAAATAGTAATGTCACAAATATGGCAGTTTTGCTAGAAATAGATGCATAAACCATCATCTTGTAATAAATTCATGAGATGGCAGCTTAATTAACTCTCTACCATTAGCCAAATTTCTTCATATCTTATTATTAATTAGCCTTAATATAGCCTGATAAAATTCCAGCAGATTATTTGATAGTAAAAATAAATCTATTTCTTACAGTCTAAAATCATATTGTCAGACAAATCAAACTGGCAAACTAATTTCGTAATTTGAAAAAATTGTAGTCTTATAATTCCCACCTTCGTCTGTCCAGTTGTCTATCTGTCCTTCCTTAATTAATCTCAAGAACAGTGTTAAATACATGAGATTCAAGACCAGATGTGGAAAACTTAGGGGGCAAGATACCCTGATTGATTATATATGAACTTGTGATCTAGACAGGAAGTAATATGATTTCGATTAAAAAAATTAACCTCAGAACAAAATTACATAGATGACTGGCATGACTGTTGTTATCAGAAAAAGTATGATGTAGAGGTGCAAGACTACTAATTTGAGATCAAGAGCATATATTTTAAAGTATAAGTAAATAAAAAAATTGCAGCTCGGCATTGTGACGACGTCACAATAATTTTAGCTCATAATTGTTTACAGACATACTGATAAAAATATTAAGATATAGTATTTTAATGTTTTCAAAGAATTAATCAGTAAATGAAAGCATAAATTAATGAAATGTAGAAAATAAAAATGTCTCTTAAAATAATGTGCTTTATAAATTCCATAATATAGGGCCATTTAAATTTGAATAAACTACATGATTTATATTTTTATCTTTCTTCCCTTTATATAAAGTTATTAATTTTTATAGTTGCTGTTTGGTGATAAAAGGAAATTGCTTATTTATAAATATTTTTGACTTTGAATAATTAATAAATCATTAATAATATAAATTTCCATTATAATTAAGCATTACTTTTGTTGAAATTGTTTTGGTTTAAAATTTTTTCTTAATAGTAATTAGGAAATTACAATTTAAAGTTGTTTTTTTTTTCTATATTTTTACAGAAGATTCCTTACAATGTTTACTGCTTTAAAGAAATTAGTCAGTAGCAATGATTCTGTTGGAATTAAAGGGCAACCTCCGCCTGGTATGCAGGCTATGGGACAGAGCCTACAAAGAAAATTTGCAAGAGGAGTTCAGTATAACAGTTAGTATGTTTATAAATTTATTCGCAATATATTTTCTAGAAGAATATATAAGTAACTATTTTAATAGTTTAAAATTTATGAAAATAAGTCCAGTTTATTGGGATTTATCATAAATTTTATTATCCTTTTCAGATTCTTTTTGTCTTTATAAACTTACTATTTCATATGTAAAAACAAATAGAAGATACTTTAAAATATTAAGAAAGAATTAAATTAAAGATTCAAGTTAGCATGCATTGACTATTATTACACTCCATAGTTTTGTGTATAATTACAATAACTACAAAATTTTCTATATTCTGTAACCTAAGCACTTTAGGATACGTATCATCCATCTTCAGAGTTAGAGAAACATCCGAAGTTTCCTATTCCGTTAATTGCTGCTACTATTTTGAACACTTTGTATTATTAAATTCAAATCAGAATTTGTTGGAGAATTAAGAACATGAAGGGTCAGATTCCATTTTAAAAATGTAGATGAGGCATTCAAAATAGAAGTAGCACTTGATGGAATTTGGAATATTCACTCTGAAAATGGACCAGGTGTATCCAAAAGTGCTTAGGTTATAAATTATAGAAAATTTTATAATACTCCAGAAGAAGCCGATAGTTATTGTAATTCTAGAATGAATTATCTATAGTTGCGGAATTTTTTTAAATATATTTTCTTCTCATATTCTATGCATAATGTTGTATTCTTGTATTTGGCATAATGTTTGCAATAAAGGAGATGTAAATTACATTTCATATAACAATTGTTTTAATCATTTATTAATTTCAAAATATATGCAATTGATATTTTATATTCAATTTTATTCTACAAGTAATTAGACTTATTATACTTTTCAACTATCATCCCACCCCTGTAACAGGGTAGGCATGTGTAACACTGTACAGTGTTACACATGCCTACCCTGAAATTACATAAAATGCATAGCCTCAATTAACTCCCTTAATTTTACTAAGAAATAATACACAACATGGAGTACTGAACATTACATTATTTTATTAATTACGTGCATCATAATGTACACAGCAGCAACATAAACAGTATTGTTTGCTATGCAACACTTCAGAAATAACAATGAATCATTCTGTTTTCCAAGGGTTAGATCCTAGCATTGTGTTTAGCATAATGTTGTTGTAAACACTTCCAAAAACACCCGCAATCCCATGTAACATGTAATGATTACCTCCATAACCACTCAACTGTGTGTGTTAAGTAATTTGTGGACATAAATAAAATTTGATTGGTGTTTTCTTTAAATAAATTTTACAATATTATAATCAGCCTTTGAAAAATAAGGATTATTGTTCAAAATGCATTATTCTGCATTGTTCGTTGTGCAAAATTGAAAATTAATCCTTCAAATAAAATTGCTATAAGTCAAACATTGTCTTGTTTTTTTCATTTATTATAAAAAAGTTAAAATTAAAGTAGCAGCATAATTCACACGTTTTTACTACATTTAACATAAAAAATTTTAACATTAATTTTAAATTATTCCTAAATAATAATAATAATAATTAAAACACAAATAAGCTTTTTAATAAATATAGGTTTTTATTTTATGTATAACTTTTATACTGGAATTAATTCTTTTCTTCTAGTTTCTGTAAAGTGTACATTATAATTTTATTCTCTATTTGAGTTTCTTTATAAATGTGAAAATAAATACCCTAATTTCTTCACCAATACATAAATGTTTTGCCAACTCAAGAGAATTGTACCATTTAGAATGAAGAGTGAAACACGGTACGGTTTTGTTTTATGCAGGAGTTGCATATATCAGCAGGTACCACAAATGAAATTTTGTATAAATTTATGCTTCATTTCAAGCTTGTTATACACTTATGCAACCATTTACAATTAACAGAAGAACATTAAAATGTATTTAAAACATTTCACTTATGTTTTTACTACAATAACATTTTATTCCAATGTTTCTGAATGTACAAAACAAAATTTTATTATACATACCTTATTCTGAATATATGTACAGTATTTTATACATAGTATACTCAAGTAATACATATAAGCCCAGGCATTCACTATGATGATTAGCATCCTGGAGTTCCTTGAGTTCAGAATGTCAGATGATGGTAAAGCACCAGTTTATTCACAGTATTATATTTACATATTAGGATTTTTTATTAAATTTATTCTGATCTTTACATTTATAAATTAATTAATTACTATTATATTTATTATTTGTGCTAATCAGTAAAAGATTAAATTTTTTCATGTAAAATTTTGATAAATAAATAATAGTTTATTTAATTTTGCATATATGTTTATTTTATAGTGAAAATTATCATTAAGGGGGATCGAAATGTAGGAAAAAGTTGTCTCTTCCTTAGATTACAGGGTCAAAAATTTAAAGAAGAATATATACCTACTGAAGAAATACAAGTAAGTCAGTTACATTTAATAAAACAATATAAATTAATATCGTAAAATGCATTATAAATTGTAAAGAAATCTTCAATCTGAAAATTTGCATGAATTTTGCTTTATCAGAGGAGTCAGTCATATTAACATACCCTGTAAACTTTTCTTAGTAATTTCAGATCTCTTAACCCATCTTCACCGAGAGAATCTTTTGAAGACGACACTTCTAGGTGTTTAAAATGCTCATACATAACATAAAAACATCATACATAACAGAATAATATCAAAAAGCATTTCTGGCCATTTCAACTTAGATACGTTGAATAGGTTTTTCATTTCTCAAAGATAACAATTCTAGATGTTTTAGTTTGACTGTGTTGAATGAAATTAGAATACCTCAAAGTGTAATATTCTAGAACTAAACATAATAAAATGTGTTGCAAATAATTGTTAGATTTATAGATTCTGTTTTTAAATCTTTCTAACACTGTATTATTTTATCATGAATAGTTTTATAATGCTAAAGATCATTCAGGAACTAGTAAATTATATTCATTTATATAAAAAGATAATTGACAATAGTGTGTCACAATTTCCACTGTCTGAATCTTGAATTTCTCGGTGGACAATCCCTTGTTTTAATAATGTTATATTTCACTCAAGAAAAATATATAGATAATGCTTGTTTATTTATCTATTTGTTTATTGTATTAAAGTTAAAGTCTTATTCTAATTCATACCATAAACCACCATGGTATAGTCCGTAAAAACAGATATTTGGCTCACAACAAACATATCCTGTTTCTTGAAATTTTAAAGTGATTGGTCCCAGTTTGGATGTGAGTCACCATGGAATGGCTCATGCAAACTGACATTCAGCCTACCACGATATGCATTTTATAATTCTAATTTGTAAATAACTGGTCAAAACTTGACCTAAGTGTCCAGAATGGAAATCATATTGAACTAAGTGTCCAGAATGGAAACTGATGCCTAAACATCTTTGGTCATCCAGCCAGCAATATACATGTACTGTACTGTAGAGTACATATGTGGGCTTATATTTGGTATACATTCCCAAGCCAAAACTTATTGCAAGTCTAGTGCTGCCTGTGAACTATTAACATATGAATTATGATGATAATTTGGAAATTTTATTTTAGTCCTATGTGTGTATATTTCAACTGTCTTGCTGTCGGTCTGCTTTAGCCAGAAACTTAAAAATAGTTGTATAATTTCATACAATTTAAAAGGTATCGCCATAAAATTTAATAACACTTACTTTCAATGCACGGATCTCTTCATTCTTATAGTCAGCTGATATTCCTAATACAAGAATCATTATATAACTTTTTACATATTAAGAGAAGAGCTTTTTCATAATTTTACATAATTTTGCAATGATTTTTAGATATATATTTTTTTACTTTTTGCCCTTTGGGTATTAAGAGGGCCTTTTAGCAAGCACATCGTGAGTTTGGCCAAGCCCACTATGAGGGTGACCAGAATCTGCCATATCTAGGATAGACCACTTCCCAAAAAATTCCAGATTCATTTCCAGGTTCTCAGATTGGCCTTAACTGCTTAAACATCAGGATTCATTGGTTTTTGAAGCACTATTGTTAATTATTTCCTTATCAGAATAAAATTTAATTACATTATTAAATTTTATATTTAAAATGTGATTTTTTTTTTTTATTTTAAATATAATTTAAACATTACTTTTATAACTTTAAAGATTTCAATAAGGAAAATATTAATAAACTAGCAGGTAGGCCCGGCATTGCTCGGGGAAACTAACTGATAGGGAAGATTAACATTATTACATTATAGTCAACCTTACCCGTTTTCACAGAATGCAAGAATTGGGTCACCCTGTTTCCGGACTGATCAGAGAATTTTTAGATGGGTCTAAAAATATGTTCGATTTCCCGCAAAAACGAAAAATCTGCATCTGCCTCTTGCACGTCACTTTCTCTTAACAATTCCATTGTTGATGGAAGTGTTAAGCCTTAATCCTGTCTCTCTTCCCAGGGGAATTTCGAAAAATCCCTTCTTAGTGTGCATTTTCGTGACGTACCCTATCTGTGTACCAAATTTCAACTTTCAACTCCTAACCGTTTGGGCTCTGCACTTATTATTATTATCATCAACCCATCTCGATTATATATATAGATGTGTTTACATTTAGGTAACAAGTATTCAGTGGAATTATAAAGCAACAGATGATGTCGTGAAAGTTGAAGTATGGGATGTGGTGGATAAAGGAAAGAAAAGAAAAAAAATTGAGGGACTTAAATTGGATAATTCAGTTATTGAAGTATGTGTTTATTATCTAAAAAAACAGTTAATAATTTTAAAATTATCAATTTTAAGCTAATTTAAATATTTTATGTATGATTTAGTCGGCAGAAAAACCTGCACTTGATGCTGAGTTTATAGATGTATACAAAGGAACAAATGGTGTTATCATGATGATGGATATCACTAAACAATGGTATGTTATGCAGATATTTCATTATTTTAATATATTAATCATGCTGATATTTGTGTGTTATGTATAAGTGTTCTGAATAAACTGGGTAATTCTTTTTTTATTTAATATTTATTATCTGAAGTTTAAACCAAGATCAAGCATAGTTTGATCTTGGTTTAAATTTTATATATTTTTTGCTATTTAAATATTTTTTGAAACAGTAATAATCTGTCTAGGTGTTTCTTTAATGAGAAAATTATTCTCCTCTGTTGTATTGTAACTAAATACCAAGACACAAGAATATTCAAAGATGCATATACTAAAATTAAAAATATAAATAATTTGAATACAAAAACAAACTAATTTGGAGTCTTCTAAGTGTTTCTTGAACCATAGAAACATAATTAAATACAAATACAGTCAACTTTTTTCATAGAATCTGCTTATTGTAATCAGTTTGGGACTTGTCCAGTGGCATCTAATATAGGGGTGCAGTTGCATGAGAGGTTGCAGCACACAACATTAGTAGAATCATTTTTATTTTGTATAATGTTTTAATTGGCACTTAGGCTTTTTAGGTGTTGTACTAAGAACTGCTTCTTAGATGAATTATAAAGGAGTCATTATTATAATGATTAATTAATTATTAATTAGTTAAATTATAGAGTTTAGTTTAAAGATACATGGTTAAGCTATCCACCTACAGATCAAATTCCATAATTTAATTATTTTTAGCTTAAAAATAATCTGGATTTTCAATATTTATTTATTCTACATAATAAACATGTCATATTATGTTTTTATTAGGACCTTTGCTTACGTTCAACGAGAAATCCAATTAGTTCCTCTTCACATTCCTATATTAGTGTTGGCCAATCACAGGGACATGGGTCATCACAGAACAGTGACGGAAGATCAAGTTAGATATTTTATCGAAGGCCTTGATAGGTAGTGTTTTATACCCGAGCGATACATATTTAAATATTATAAGAATCTTTCTAAAATGTTACTTTTTAGACCCGAAGGTAGTGCTCAGATAAGATACGCCGAAGCATCAATGAGAAATGGATTTGGTTTGAAGTTCCTTCATAAATTCTTTAATTTACCATTTTTGCAATTACAGGTAAATATATGCCTTTAAATAATGATTGCAAGAAATATATTAACTTACTATTGTTTTAGATTTTTTTTTTTTTAATTTTTACAAATAATTTAACTTATTTTTCTTCCACAGAGAGAGACATTATTAAAACAACTTGAAATAAATTCTCAGGAGATTAACGCAACTTCAGAAGAATTAGATTTCTTACAAGAATCTGAAGACCAAAATTATGATCTGTAAGTGACAAATTTAATAAATTTTTACTTGATATTATTTTATTGAGATTTTCATTTTTTCTGTATTACGAATTACGGGTTGTTTTAGGGTCAGTGAAGGTGTTTTCGGTAAAAATGTTTGAGACAAAATTTTCTTAATTTAGTTTTGAATTAAAGTCAAAGTTTAATCCAAAACTAAATTTAAAAATTTGACTTCTGGTCAGGATAACCCATTTCTGGCCAGTTCTGAAGCTGAATATAATCACCATTAGAGCATACCTGATTTACTTAACAAAATTTTTATGATTTTTGATGAAAACTCTCTTCCTTTCATGCTAAAAGTAGTTTATGGATAGTCTGGGTCATCCTGTATATAAGTACTGATGAATGTGATTGACTTACTGATGAACTATTTATTGAAAGAATAATTTCTATTCATTGCACTGAGATGGCTTTTTTAAGTTTTACAACCAATTAAAAATTTTCTTGTTTTCTTGAAAAGGAAAGATGATATGACAAGGAAGAATGTTGTTATAAGAGAATACCACTCTTTCTGTTCTACAAAAATTTCTTGTTTAATGTACGTTAGATTTAAAAAGAAAGAAAAACTGACAAAAATATTTGTATTCACTGTTTTTGAAGTTGTGGATAATAATGTGGATTCTCATATATACATATTATGCTTGTTAAAATTTGAAAAGTGAATTATTTTGAAATTTGTCAGTTCATCATCAGTCCATTTAAGCTTCTCCTGTTTGAATTCATTTAAAATTTGTTTTAAGTTTGTAATTATTCAAATTCTCAACAATAATAATTTCTTTAATCCAAACTATAGTATTTAATCATTCAGATATCCATATAAAAATTTAAAACAATTATATTATATTTTGAGTATTTAACGTGTGTTTTCATGTTTTTCTAAAAATTTTCTTATGTAATTTTAACAGCTTTTTAGAAGCGTTAACAAATAGAAGACGGCAAGTGGCAGAACAGTTGTCGCAGCCGGTCAAACCAAACGAGATACAAAATGGTCTCCCACCAAGTTCTTCCATACCTAACTGTATGAAAATTTCTGTTTTTATATATATATATATATACTTAATTACTTCACTATCCAAAATTGACACTGGATAATTTTTTAAAATAGGAAAAAATTTTTAAAAATTACAAATATTTATCACAAATAAAACCACTAAAAGATGTGTACTTTAAATTAGTTGTGAATCATCAGGCTACTACTCAGTCTGTCAGTTCACCAACCGGAACGCCAAGAAGTGTTTCTGTACCGGTCAGTTTAAATCAGACGGTTAATTCTACGGTCTTGCCATCGACAAATGTACAGCAGCCTCAGTTATCTAGTCCATTGCCTTCTGTGGTAAAGTTGATTTAACATTAAATTTGTTGCATATTAAGGTATTTATCGTAAATGAAACTATCGATTTCTTTTAATTAGGAACAAAAACAGGAAAGTTTTATATCACGGTTATTTAGTAAATCATCAAATAATGTTAATACTAATACTAATACTCCGGTTGTAGAAGAAACTAAAAATGGTATGTGATTGTAAATATATTTCAAAGCTGATATTATAGATTGAAATTTGATTTTAAAAAATTTGTTGCAAATTTATTTAGAGCCAATTCCAACAACTTCCGATCAGCCTGTACAAAGAGTAGAGGATTTTGTCCCCGAGGACTTAGATTATTCTTTTAATTCTTTCTTAGAAGAGGCTGCTATGTCTAAACTGGAAATAGATACTGGTATGCCTGCTGTCGAAGAGGAAAGTGAAAGGTAACAACAGCACAAATGTTTTAACTTATGCTATTTTTTTAAGTTGAAGTGAAATGATGGTTGCATAAAAATAACAATCATTATACTTTCGGTCTAATGTTAATTCAGTATATAAAAAATAATAATAAAATTTTATTATGTTACTTTTTTGATAGTTGAATTTTAATTAAGACAAACTGGAAAATCCAATTAGGCTATGGATTTATACAAAAATTTAGTTTAAATTTTTAAAAAATTAGGAAAGAAATTAATATTTTCTCATTTATTAGCATATATTTTGAACCGATTCGAACGTGTATATGTTTACAGTAACAGATTTAAGCAATATATTATAGCAACACTCTGCAATTTAGATCTTAAAAAATTAATTTTTTTAGAAATTTAAGGTTTTTTCTTTTAACTCTTGGACAGAAATTTAGATTCTGAAAAGATACAATGTTGTAAAATCTTTCAGTTTAATGCCATAATTTTTAAAAGTTGTATAATTTTTTAAAGACGTCTGTCCTAGAATTTCATTGGTTCCTTTTATTAAAGCAGAAATATCTAATAGTTATTTAATAAGGGCATTAAACTCTGAATGTTAATTGTAATAAAATTACCAATACTTTCAACAAGTAATTGAAAGGTAGCAGAAGTAATCATAAAGCACAGTTTATTAACATTAAATTCAAATACCTAATTTCCAATTTGTTGGGCTAGTAATCTAATTAACTAGTAATTAATTATATAAGTTGGCTTAAAGGCAGTTAGGCTACCATCTTACATCACTAATAGTAATTAGAAATTAAATTTAAATAAGTTAAACAATTTAAGAATAATCTGGAAGAGACAATTGATCGTGAATAGAGCTTGAAACTGCATCTTCTGCATACTTTGATTCATCCTGTATAAACAGATACGGGAGTTCCCCTACTTATGAACATTTGACTTACAAACTTTCAGACTTATTAACAATTTGATGTATATCTAAAATTTAAATTTTGCGTGAATTCAGAATTTTTCTTGCCAATCATAGGGTGGTGTCGAAGTCAGTCTTTAGCCAGTAATAAATATATAATGTGGATTTATTTCTATTGGGTATTGTAATTTTTCGTTTTTGTGCAAATTTTCACATCCCATTATCGCTTGTGTGCTGATATGGAAGTTGGTAACATTGAAGTAACAGCGTTTTTCACTAGTGTTTGCAATTTTTATAAATTTTTATGATTAGTGCTTCAAAATTGCATCCAAAACATAATAATAAATCTAGTAGTGGAGATAAATGCAAGAAGTGTGGCTCTATTACTATAGAAACTGAACTCGACATTACCAAGTGTGTTTGACGAAAAACACTGCATTTGAAATACTACTAAATGGTAGCAAATGGATAAATGAGCATAATGTATTCTATTAAGTACATTGAAGGATCAAACACTAACAATGTGTGATTATTCTGTATACAAATATACTTTCTGGCTTAGTTTTCGATTTACAGCAAAACCTCGGGAACCTAACCCATTCGTAAGTAGAGGAGTGCCTTACATTGAATTTTGTTAGTTAGGTTTCTAGTTTATTTTTTAATAAAATTTTATGAATTTTAATAAGGCTAATAAATAATAATACTCTCTTGCTTATTAAATGTTTAACTCTAACTTTAGAAAAAACAGAATTTGAAAATAAATATAGTCCTCTTTTTGTTGAATTTTTCCGTCCGATGGCAGGATTATTATTAAATAAATCAAAGACAAGTCTGTCCAAGAGGGATCACCATTTATTTTGCACTCCAGACTACAATCTACATCTTCCAGCACCTTTTCTAGTAGATAAAAGCAGAACCACCCATTGGCTAGATGGATGAGAAGTAAGATGTCTGTGTGTCACTGATTCCTTTTACTTTTAATTGGATGTTTGTGTTTTTTAAAGGACTTTTTTTACCTTTTGGCGGCATGAAGCCTAAAAAGGAAGGCCTGTCACCATTAATGTGTATGTGTAGTCTGGAATGCAAAATAAATGGTGATCCGTCTTGGACAGCCTTATCTTTGATTTATTTAAATATAGTCCTCGGTAAACAATTACAAGTAAACAATTAATTGCAAGTAAGATCGAAGCCAAAGTTGCAAAATACGAGAGCTAATTGTCACATAGTAGTTATTTATCACTTAAGAATATTTTTAATATGAATACATCATTTGTATATATAATAATTTAAACATTTTTACATAGAAAACTGATGATTTACTTTCTCTAATGTAGTGAAGGAGAGACTGTTAATCCCATGGTAGCAGAATTTCAAGATGATTTAGATCCAGAAGATAGTTGTGGTATAGTTAATAATTTCTCCATAGACACTAGTGCCATTGATAACGATAAAAGCATCAGTAGTGACGAAGAACCAATAAAAACGAAAGAAAATGGTAATATTAAAATAAAATAATTATATTTTGAATAAATATAAGGTATGTCCTTTTTTAATATAACATAAAGATGGTTATGTATCTCTTATTTTCCCTAAAAATTCATTTTAGGTTTTCATTTTATTTCTATGCAGTATTAATTAGTTTTGTCGGTATAGAGAGGGATTGGATTAAAAGATGATGTTGGAAAATTTATTATTTCTTTTATTACAATTACATAATAGTAATATTTCTAAGACTGTTGAGATGACTGGAGTATTCTGATTATATATATAAGTTATCAGAAGCAATAAGAAATTATTGATTGTTTTTTCCCTTTAATTTTTATTAAAACTTTCAAACGGATAAATGTTATATGTTACTACCTGTACATACAAGGAATGTTCAAAAACTTCCCAGAAAATGTAAATAAAACGACAGCAAATTTAGTTTAGTAATTTATTTTTCAAATGTTCTATTCAAGTAAAACATTTTTCCATAATGTCACTACCTTTATAAGCCCTTCCAGTAGAAATCTGTGCTCTTTGAACCAAGCCACTGTACTACAAAACATTTAAATTGATCTGCCAGCTGTCAGTGAACACTTTTTAATGTATTTTTAAATTTTGGAACTAAAAAAAAGTCTGATGGGGGGCTAGATATGAATACCTGATAAAACAAATCTCACACAAGTTTATGCTTGTATCAATTAACTTTATAATTACAGTAGAGCATCGATTATCTGAATGTCGATCAACCGAAACGTCAATTAACCGAAAGCTTTCCAGTCGGCAAATTTAAATTTTCACTAGTGCTGTAGCGCTGCAATTTTTGGCTATGTCTTGGGCTACTTCAATATTATTTTTGTTGGTGTGCGTGTTTTAGCTGGCAGTACTGCACAACCATGAGAGTACTTAAGGACATGCCAATTGTTGAACGAATTTCAACATGGGGTAGGTTAATATATTTTTACATAATCGGTTATCCGAAAAATCAATTTTCCAAACAACCCCAATCCCCAATTGATTCGGATAATCAATGCTATACTGTAATTGATACAAACATAAACATAGCATTATGTTTACAAATAATCACCACTTTCCGGAAATTTTTTGAAGCTTCTCATCTACATCATCTGAAAGTTAGCATTTTGTGTGTTATGAAGCAGTTCAATTAATATGAAATGAATTTTTGACATTTCAGCATGAACATTCATTATTAACTAACAAAATTACTAAGTTTCATAACATTTTAGATGCACTTCTAATTCTATAAATAATTTTTTACACACTTTACTGAAAAATTGAACACTTCAAAGTACTGTCGGAATAAAATATAAATTTTCGTCTACAAGTACGTATCTTCTAATATCAGGACTTATTATACTGGCTTTACAGATAATTCTACAAAGTCCTGATATTAGAAGATACATACTTGTAGACAAAAATTTATATTTTAGTAAGTCAAGGACATTGAGGCATTTTAATTAAATTACTGTCAGAATAATTTCAAATTTATAATTAAAGTGCAAAGGGATTAAAGAAAACAAGATAAATGTGAATAATTTTATCCTTCTATGGCAATATGTAGATTTCCTTTTAAAAAGATTGAAATTGAAATATTTCATATCTTATGTAACTTTCCAGCCAACACAGTAAAGAGAAAGTAGTATAAAACTTTTAACGAAAATAATCTTTTAAAACAGTTTTTTCACTCTGTTCAATAAGAATTTTATCATATAGGTATTGTATTGTAGTTAAATTGTTATTTTAAAATAAATATATTTATCTTTCAGATAAAAATATTACTGAAACGCCACCAGTTGCCGTTCCTGTCTCAACGTCGGTACGTTGCATAAGAATTTAATTTGCTCGACGTTGCTCAATAAATTGGGTGACATATTAGAAAGTGCTTTAAAAGATTCTTAAACTTATTATTAATTTTTTAATTGATGTATATTAAAATGACAACAATTATGTTGACTTTACGAATTTTATGTTAGGATATCCCATCGAATGTGTCAGAAAATGCAACAAATACGTCAAATGAAATAAGTACTCCTTCAACTTTGCCAGTAGTACCATGTTACGGACTTGAAAATGAAGACTTAAGTATTCTAGAAAAAGGTTATCTTTTCTCAAAGAAACCAACAAATGGAACAACAAGCGGTAAGTCTTGTATTATAAACAACAGATTAATTGAATCTTGACAAATTTTTCTTTGGTTTCTATTTTGTAGAAATTGAAACCAAAGAAATGATTAAATTTTAATTGCTGGAGTGATAGAAACTAAACATCATCTTATAAGTTTTTCTCCAGTTTCTTCTGTTGTTTATTATGTAGAAATTAATTAAAAGTCATAAATATGTAATTTATAATTACATTTGTATTACAGTTTGTCGGCACGTGATCCATTCGTTTTTGCATGTGCTTGTTCTGTTTGCATAACAAATTGTTTGACATTAACAGATTCAACTCTGTATTTTTATGTAACTACTAAAGTAAAATTGTTTAAAGTTTGATACAAATATTTTTGCAAAAATAATTGTTTTCAGAACACTTTTAGGCTATATACTAAAATAAGATTCTGACAATATGGAAAAAATACCTTTATTGGTTTTAAGATTAATTTTTTATGAAAAATAATTTCAATATTCAACTTGTTTCGAAACCTTAATTCAGAGGTTTGTAGATATTGTTAAGAATGTTGTGGCCTCGTTCAAATCTGATTGAAATTATTGCTTATCTCAGAAAATATGAAATTAATTGTTTAATATAAAATGTTATGGGTATAGTAAATGGCCAATTAATTCGGTATTCATTTCCCCAACTGCCTCTCTTCAGTCTGAATATAGCAGCTTGCATATTGACACAATATAGTAGAATCCATTTATTGTAATCACTTTAATACTCACCCGTACTGATATCATTAAGAGGAGGTAAATATGACTGCAATTAGTGGAAATTCTGGTTTTGTTAACCATAACATAATATAGTTAATTAAAAAGGTATTAAGACAATTTAATAGTTATTACTATTATTAACCAATAATTCACTTGACCATAAATTGAAGGAACAAATCCTAGAAATTTAAACCATTGCTGTTTATCTTGTAAAGCACTAGTTAAGACTGATGATGATTTGTGTTAATGCTACATATTAAAGCTGATAGCGCAAAACAACAGCTTAGAAATGCCTAAATTAAGTATGCTTTTAGCCCAAATACATGGCTAAATGAGAAGGAATTATCACATTAGGATGTGTGTGGTTTCCATCTCATTCCAATGTGATAAGCCCTTCTCATTTAGCCCTGTTTTGATAGGTATTTCTAAAGTAAAACAAATAAATTTTTATTTTTGGGTAAATAAGCTAAGTAACTCAAAGTTTTATAAATGTATTCAATGTCTGATTACAGAATTCTGCTATATTTACTTTTCACTATGATCATTATTTCTAATTTTTGTTTTAAATTTTACTATATTATTATTACAATAATGATTGATTGTATTTGTACTGTTTATCAGAATATAAAATAAATTTATTTATGCTAATTGAAAACCAGAATGAAGTGAGAACGAAAGTTTAGTGAATAAGCTTACTGAAAATTTACATATATTATGTTGCATTGTACTATAGTATTTGTGAATAATAATATAAAAAAATTAAGTTTAGCTGACTTTAAGCAATTCTGTGTATAAAATTTAATATTTTCATTGCATTTAGTTTTATTCAATAATGAATTCTACCAAAATTTAAACAATATTTATATAAAATTAATGTATTCTATTTTCAGTTCCCAGCAGATCTTCTACCAGCGCAACCACCGAAGGATCGGAAGCGGTGAGTGAAGACTCCACCACCACTAGAAACTTGCAGCACAAAGAAAAAAACAAGGTTATATTTCTTTCTTTTCATCTAAACTGTAAGAGTATATTAATTAGCATTGAAGATTATTGTTTATATGTATAAATCATTTTTATAATAAAACACTAAATTTTTGTGTGCAATTAACAGAATCTCCATATGAACAAATTACAAGCCTACCAATTTGCTCCATCCAAATAACTTGGATAGACATAATACTTGAGTAAATGGGCATAAAATTTGACCATAACTGTGTTTAATGGTGCCAAATTCAAATTTAACTAGTCTAACACTAAGCATTAATACTTTTTATTTTTCTTCTCCAATATAGCCATTACCATAGGCCTAAGACATGACACCTCTCCAGATATCCGTGCCACTTAGTTAGTATCGATAATGACTACTTAACAGATAACTTATTTGCTTGAGTAGAAACAGTGTGACCTAATAAGCTTAATTTGAATTTATTGAATAAATCTAAATATAAAATTCAAGAGAGTAATAATAAATTTAAAAAATATTAGCTAGTTTTTAATAGTTATTTCAAATATGAAACTCAAAGAGAAAACAGTCGACCAAATTATCCCCTCGATGTGGGTTCCTGTCCGTGGTGAGGGGACCTCCCAGAGATGGTTTAGAAACTCCTCTTTACCATCCCTGGGATCTGAACGCCCACCNTCATAACATTTTAGACACACTTCTAATTCTATAAATAATTTTTTACACACTTTACTGAAAAATCTAACACTTCAAAGTACTGTCGGAATAAAATATAAATTTTCATCTACAAGTACGTATCTTCTAGTATCAGGACTTATTATACTGGCTTTACAGATAATGCTACAAAGTCCTGATATTAGAAGATACATACTTGTAGACAAAAATTTATATTTTAGTAAGTCGACATTGAGGCATTTTAATTAAATTGCTGTCAGAATAATTTCAAATTTATAATTAAAGTGCAAAGGGATTAAAGAAAACAAGATAAATGTGAATAATTTTATCCTTCTATGGCAATACGTAGATTTCCTTTTAAAAAGATTGAAATTGAAATATTTCATATCTTATGTAACTTTCCAGCCAACACAGTAAAGAGAAAGTAGGATAAAACTTTTAACGAAAATAATCTTTTAAAACAGTTTTTTCACTCTGTTCAATAAGAATTTTATCATATAGATATTGTATTGTAGTTAAATTGTTATTTTAAAATAAATAAATTTATCTTTCAGATAAAAATATTACTGAAATGCCACCAGTTGCCGTTCCTGTCTCAACGTCGGTACGTTGCATAAGAATTTAATTTGCTCGACGTTGCTCAATAAATTGGGTGACATATTAGAAAGTGCTTTAAAAGATTCTTAAACTTATTATTAATTTTTTAATTGATGTATATTAAAATGACAACAATTATGTTGACTTTACGAATTTTATGTTAGGATATCCCATCGAATGTGTCAGAAAATGCAACAAATACGTCAAATGAAATAAGTACTCCTTCAACTTTGCCAGTAGTACCATGTTACGGACTTGAAAATGAAGACTTAAGTATTCTAGAAAAAGGTTATCTTTTCTCAAAGAAACCAACAAATGGAACAACAAGCGGTAAGTCTTGTATTATAAACAACAGATTAATTGAATCTTGACAAATTTTTCTTTGGTTTCTATTTTGTAGAAATTGAAACCAAAGAAATGATTAAATTTTAATTGCTGGAGTGATAGAAACTAAACATCATCTTATAAGTTTTTCTCCAGTTTCATCTGTTGTTTATTATGTAGAAATTAATTAAAAGTCATAAATATGTAATTTATAATTACATTTGTATTACAGTTTGTCGGCACGTGATCCATTCGTTTTTGCATGTGCTTGTTCTGTTTGCATAACAAATTGTTTGACATTAACAGATTCAACTCTGTATTTTTATGTAACTACTAAAGTAAAATTGTTTAAAGTTTGATACAAATATTTTTGCAAAAATAATTGTTTTCAGAACACTTTTAGGCTATATACTAAAATAAGATTCTGACAATATGGAAAAAATACCTTTATTGGTTTTAAGATTAATTTTTTATGAAAAATAATTTCAATATTCAACTTGTTTCGAAACCTTAATTCAGAGGTTTGTAGATATTGTTAACAATGTTGTGGCCTCGTTCAAATCTGATTGAAATTATTGCTTATCTCAGAAAATATGAAATTAATTGTTTAATATAAAATGTTATGGATATAGTAAATGGCCAATTAATTCGGTATTCATTTCCCCAACTGCCTCTCTTCAGTCTGAATATAGCAGCTTGCATATTGACACAATATAGTAGAATCCATTTATTGTAATCACTTTAATACTCACCCGTACTGATATCATTAAGAGGAGGTAAATACGACTGCAATTAGTGGAAATTCTGGTTTTGTTAACCATAACATAATATAGTTAATTAAAAAGGTATTAAGACAATTTAATAGTTATTACTATTATTAACCAATAATTCACTTGACCATAAATTGAAGGAACAAATCCTAGAAATTTAAACCATTGCTGTTTATCTTGTAAAGCACTAGTTAAGACTGATGATGATTTGTGTTAATGCTACATATTAAAGCTGATAGTGCAAAACAACAGCTTAGAAATGCCTAAATTAAGTATGCTTTTAGCCCAAATACACGGCTAAATGAGAAGGAATTATCACATTAGGATGTGTGTGGTTTCCATCTCATTCCAATGTGATAAGCCCTTCTCATTTAGCCATGTTTTGATAGGTATTTCTAAAGTAAAACAAATAAATTTTTATTTTTGGGTAAATAAGCTAAGTAACTCAAAGTTTTATAAATGTATTCAATGTCTGATTACAGAATTCTGCTATATTTACTTTTCACTATGATCATTATTTCTAATTTTTGTTTTAAATTTTACTATATTATTATTACAATAATGATTGATTGTATTTGTACTGTTTATCAGAATATAAAATAAATTTATTTATGCTAATTGAAAACCAGAATGAAGTGAGAACGAAAGTTTAGTGAATAAGCTTACTGAAAATTTACATATATTATGTTGCATTGTACTATAGTATTTGTGAATAATAATATAAAAAAATTAAGTTTAGCTGACTTTAAGCAATTCTGTGTATAAAATTTAATATTTTCATTGCATTTAGTTTTATTCAATAATGAATTCTACCAAAATTTAAACAATATTTATATAAAATTAATGTATTCTATTTTCAGTTCCCAGCAGATCTTCTACCAGCGCAACCACCGAAGGATCGGAAGCGGTGAGTGAAGACTCCACCACCACTAGAAACTTGCAGCACAAAGAAAAAAACAAGGTTATATTTCTTTCTTTTCATCTAAACTGTAAGAGTATATTAATTAGCATTGAAGATTATTGTTTATATGTATAAATCATTTTTATAATAAAACACTAAATTTTTGTGTGCAATTAACAGAATCTCCATATGAACAAATTACAAGCCTACCAATTTGCTCCATCCAAATAACTTGGATAGACATAATACTTGAGTAAATGGGCATAAAATTTGACCATAACTGTGTTTAATGGTGCCAAATTCAAATTTAACTAGTCTAACACTAAGCATTAATACTTTTTATTTTTCTTCTCCAATATAGCCATTACCATAGGCCTAAGACATGACACCTCTCCAGATATCCGTGCCACTTAGTTAGTATCGATAATGACTACTTAACAGATAACTTATTTGCTTGAGTAGAAACAGTGTGACCTAATAAGCTTAATTTGAATTTATTGAATAAATCTAAATATAAAATTCAAGAGAGTAATAATAAATTTTAAAAATATTAGCTAGTTTTTAATAGTTATTTCAAATATGAAACTCAAAGAGAAAACAGTCGACCAAATTATCCCCTCGATGTGGGTTCCTGTCCGTGGTGAGGGGACCTCCCAGAGATGGTTTAGAAACTCCTCTTTACCATCCCTGGGATCTGAACGCCCACCCACGTGTTTGCCGTGCGTGGTGTCCCGTATGCCGGAAAGGGGGATCCTGGTAGTTGAGGGGCAACATAACGTCCCCAACACACTGCTTTGGCCCCTGCTTCGGATAAACGGGAGGCTCAAATCAGGCTCCGTTTGAGTCAATCGGCTGGTCGTTGAGTCATTCTTGACCTCGGCTTGGAGTCAACCGATCGATGCAGACCGGGCGGACATGTCAGTCTAGATGTGCTCTTCTTGACTGCATTGTGAGGGTATAGCTCCTGGGAAACCCTGGTGTGACGGTCTATGGAAGTACTCCATGTGACGGCATCCCCTTGTTGGGCCCCATGGTGGGTGGGGTCACTAGGAGCTGAATTTTTTCTGTAATTATGGATTCAAAAAATTCAAAAAGTTCTTGTGCACCAACAACAAAAACAAACAAAAAAATCTCCACTAATCCAGCGTTCTTAGTAGTGCACGCAACCGGAGAAAAACCCTTGGCTAAAGCTTCTCCTTTCTTGATTCAAAAATTGTTTGAATCGACCATAGGACAGTTGAAAAAAATACAAAAATTAAGATCTGGAGATTTACTGGTGGAAACAGCTTCCCCACAACAATCGGCAAAACTTCTGGAAACAAAGACCCTAGGAGAAATGGAAGTCACTGTCACCCCACATGTGAGCCTAAACTCATCACGTGGGGTAATATCTGAGATCGATCTGATATCTGAAGATGAATCAGATATTCAGATTGGCCTTTCAGACCAAGGTGTCACTGCTGTCCGACGCATTTCCATTCGTCGAGATGGCAAGTTGATTCCCACCAAACACCTTATTTTGACATTTAATAAACCGACTTTGCCATCTGTTATTACAGCAGGTTATCTGCGCTGCCCAGTTCGCCCATATGTTCCAAATCCGCTGCGTTGCTTTAAATGCCAGCGATTTGGACATTCACAAACATCGTGCCGAGGGAAAAGCATATGCGCACAGTGCGGAACTGAAGGTCACGAGAGTACTGAGTGTACCACTACTCCGTGCTGTGTGAATTGCAAAGATGCCCATCCTGCCTACTCTCGAA